AGCCAGCAGGCCTTTGGAAAACCACATGGAAGTGTGTATCCTGCAAAAGCTTTGTTGTCCCCATCATACACACATATATCCCCTTCCCGGTGTAGAGAGATCACCACCTTGGCACCCTGGAAGGTGTTAGCATGTCCTTAGCTCCTGAGGTTATATGCTGGGGGAGAAGTTTCCCTGCGGGTAAAAAGATTTCATTGTGATGAGCTTTCCCTTTAATAATCTTGCATTCCCACCTCTTCACGTTCCAAAATGGAAATCTAGGAATAAAAAAAGCTAAGTTTAAACCTATTTCCCAGGAGCTGAATGCCAGTGCCTGTCTGAGGTGCCGCTGTGGTGTCGGCACACTCCTCTGTGGATTTGGTCACCATTCAGTGCCTGGATGATGTCAGTGGGTAGCAGTGCTGAATGCTGCTGCTCCTCTGGCCAGGGGAAAACTTCTACCTGCCCCCTGTCGCCTGCTGAAACACCTGTGGGGAGGGCAAGGTCAGTCATGGAGCTGATAAGGAGAGAGTGACATAAACATGTCTGGAATTCATAGTGTGAAACCAGAAATTCAGACTTTAGTCATCTCTCCATGTTAATTTTCCCCTTTCAACAGCATCTGGAAAAGATTATTCCTGTCTGAGTGGGTGCTCAAGATCCCACAGTGTTTAAAACCAAGCAAACCATCATGCTTTGATGGTTCCCAATATCCTTGCTGCTGCCCATTAGTCAGTTTCTCAGCAGCTGGGCACATCTTCCCAGGCACAGGAAGGTTGTGTAGTTGGGAGCATCAGGTGGCCTGTATTGCAGAGAGTCAGAAAATGGGAGCTCTGACCCCAAATTCAATAATTTGGGACGATACCTGGGTGTAAAAATGTCTTTTTGTGGGATTTGCTGGACATCACCCCCCAACATGAGAGCAGGAAAAGCACTGAGGCTGGGGCTGTTCACAGCTGTTCCTGGGGTCTGGGGTCCTCAAGTCCATGTTATTCACACTTAGATCAGGATGTTGCAGATGGAGTGAAGGCTGGCATTCCTAAAAGGATACTCTCAACTTGGAAGTTGGATCACTTTCCAGAAACAAGCTCAAGCAGTTCAGAGAGTGCAGGGCTCACAGGAGAGCTGCATTAGACAGGTTAACACTCCAGATGACCTAGTGATTTTAAGAGTGATTCCCCTGCCCTGTTACTCTGCAAAAACATCATGTGGATAAGAAGGAAACTGGACAGACTTCCAGATCCAGTAGTGAAACGGGCTATCCACAACAGAACAGGCTGTGAATATACCTTTCTGGTCTTTCCGTAATGCTTTGATATTACTCAGGTTTAAAAAAATAATGAATAAAAAATGAGGAAATGTGGTTAAAAGAAAGCTGAAGGAGCTTAATTTTGGTCATAACTCAATTGGCAGTTTTAACAGTTACTCTTTCCTGGACCACCTTTCTCTTTAATCATTGTGTAGACCAATCCTCTTTTTGTGCTAAGAGTAACCATCACTCACTGGGAACAGTGGTGGAAAATAAACTGCATATTTCTGCCGTTGCCGTGAAAGTTGCCATCTGAAATGGAGATCAGGTGCCTACCACATCTCCATATTATTTTGCAGACTATCAGTGATCCATAAATTAAAAGTTACAGCTAGAAATCTAAGCCTTGAAGCTCAGCAAGCTGCTGTTTAAAAAGAAGGGCAGAGGTTCTGCATGTTGATAAGACTACACCTACCCACATTTTCAAGTGAAAGTTGTTTTTTAAATATCTGCAGAGATGCATTGATCTGCACTTCTGGTGTCTTTCAAGCCTGACCCCTTAAGTCCCCACCAGCTCATGCATTTCCTCAACAGCTTCTTTTACAGTTTTCAAAGGAAATGTTCAAATAGTTAAAACTTCATAGAATCATCACAGAATAAGAGAATGGTTTAGGTTGGAAGGGTTCTTAAAGCTCATCTTGTTCTACCCTCTTCCATGGGCAGAGACATCTCCCCCAGCTTGGTCCAAGCCCCATCCAGCCTGGCCTTGAACACTCCCAGGGATGGAGCAGCCACAGCTGCTCTGGGCAACCTGGGCCAGTGTCTCAAAACCCTCACAGGGAAGGATTTCTTCCTAACATTTATGACATCTAATTTCATGGAAAGATCAGACAGTGAGGACACTGTTGAAGGCCTTGATGTCCTCTTGTGCCAGCAGAAGAATAATGTGATCTCATCCAGGGTCTGAAGAGCCAAATGTCTATATCTTTGTGAGAAGGGCACCAGGGCAGCTTGGCTCCAGGTACCTTCACATGAAGCTGTTCCCTTGCACCTTCTTCTGCTGAAGCAATGACATTTTATTCCAGAGGGTTGAGTTACTCCTATGGACTCATCTGGCTGCTGCCTTCGTACACCTTTGCTCTAGATTTTTTGACCTTGTTCTTTCTCATCTCAAAGTTCTCTTGCTGTGAGAAGCTGCTGGTAGGGCCTTGCTCAGTACTCTGCTTCTTTTAGCACAGAGGGGCTCAGTATTTTGGTTATCAAGAGATAAGAATTGCTGTCATTTAGGGGAGGGTTCTTGCTTAAACAATGTAGAGAGGGAACTCTAAACAACTGCTGCTTTGGAGGAGAAGTTGTGAGCTCAACTTCCTTACATAAAGCCAAAACCTTGGAGGGGTGAAAGAAAGTTTGCATTTTATGGCAAGTGAACTGCCTGTGGGTGTAGGTTGGATAAGACATCTCTCTTCTCAGTTCTGTGTGTGCCAAAGATACAGAGAGATAAGAAACTGAGAAAATGTCATACCTTAATAAAAGCAGTTCTGGTTTATACAGGTTTTTGGTTCTACTGATGACCTGATTGATTATTGCATGCTGCAGAGAGAGCTCCAGGAAACTGCAGCTTTCTGCTGTGAAGGATCCTGACATTTTCTGGTTATATGGAGAAAAGATTTGGCAATGAGGAATTCACTTGTCATCTCTTCCCCCATCGTAATCTATGGGGGTTTTGTGAGGCTCCTCACAAGGCACAGCACAGGGACAGGCACTGACCTCTTCTCTCTTGTGGTCAGTGACAGGACCTGAGGGAATGGCATGAAGCTGTGTCAGGAGAGGGTTAGGTTGGATATTAGGCAGAGGTTCTTCTCCCAGAGGTGTTTGGGCACTGGAACAGTTTCCCAGGGCAGTGGTCACAGCCCCAAGCCTGACAGAGCTCAAGGAGTGTTTGGACAATGCTCTCAGGCACAGGGTGGATTGTTGAGTTGCCCTGTGCAGAGCCAAGGGTTGGACTCCATGATCCTCGTGGGTCCCTTCCAGCTCAGGAGATTCTAAATAGTTCACAGAGTTCCAAGTGTCTTTGTCTAAGAACACCAGAAAGGTGATTACTGGAAGATCCCCAAATTTCCTCTTTAAAATGGTTGCTGGAGCTGTTCATTCATTAGGGGCTTAATCTTCAAAGCCATAATCCTTTGTTCATTCATGCTTAGTCTGAAGGACTTCTCTGGTACTGCACTGGGCATGTTCAGCAACTAATGTTCATCTCTTTCAAATTCATCGACCCTTGAGATCACCATGTGCAGACCTTGTCCTTGAAGATGGAATCCTGAAGCGTATTGGTCTTGGCTGGAGATTATGATGACAAATTAGATCTTCAGCCGGAGCATGAGATCTATGAGAGGTTCACCAAGTTCTACTGTTCTCTCTCATCTTCAGGATGAAGTGCTGCTTTTGTTTTCTTCTGACTTTTTAATGTCTCATCTTCTGCTGTGACTGGAAGGCTTTATCAGATAGGCTTATAATTTTGAATTGCATCATATTGTTAGGGATAAGCATCCCAGACTTAATAGGAAATCCTTCCAAGATGGAATTCTTGTCACGATAAAGCTGAGAAAAGCTGGAAATGGGGTGCATAGGAGCAGCCAAACAAAAAATAAGGATAAAAGGTACTGATTTTTTGCTGTAAAGAAAACAAGTACACGTTCTACATCTCATTAGAGATCAGACCAAGGGGAGACTGGCAAAGTTGCCAGAAGATTCTTAGATCCATTTTTTTCTTATGCTCTTCTTTGCTTTGTTCTGCCAACTTTGGGAACGGCGTGTGCCGTGCAGAACGTCCCACTGCTCACAAACAGGCTGGGCCTCAAAAATAGCACATCCAAGAAGATCTTGTGCTGCTGTGTGGTGGTTCCCATATCTCTGTCTCTGCGAGTGCCTGACCAAGTCTGTTCTTCCTGAGTCGTGTGTCATTTAACATTGGAAATGGCATGTGTGAAGTGTTGGGGCTTTGCCTGTCTCACCTGGCATCTGCCTCTGACTTGGAGGACTTCTCTAAGGAACTTTTCTTACCTGGAAGCTTCTGTCAGAGATCTTATCTTGCTGAACTTGACTGAAGTGTGCCAGTTCCTACAAACACTTCCCAACTTCTGCAAAGTGTGGCTGTCCTTGGGACACTTGGAAAAACCAAAAGCTTTTTGAATTCTGTCAATACACAAGGCTAATGCTGTCTTTCCATAGTCATTCCTACAATCTCACGTACTTCTGGTGACTGGCTTAGATTCCTTTAGGTTTCTAGTCTCAAGTGTTCAAAGACTTCTCTGTTACACCAATTGCTGAGGTGTAAGCACATATTTAATCCAGTCAACTTCAAAATAACATCCCAAAATTCCTTGTACAAGGAGGATGTGATTTATACATCATCACTTACCTCATGGTGGATGTTGGACTTCACCAATGCAATTAACTCACCATCATCCCTTCCTGGTCATGCACACAGTGCTATAGTGAGGTTGGTTCTTTGGTTTCCTTGCAATCAAGTGTTTCCTTTGCTCTCTAAGGTTACATTTGGAAGGGATGGAGAAAGACAGAGGCTGTCTACTTCTGTAGCTTCATCCTTTCATGTCTTGTTTTTCTCCTGGGACTCTGGCTATAGTTTTCTTGGTTGGTAACTATTTGCTATAAATCGTTAATCTACTTCAAGGTGAAGGCTTTGGGAGGCTCTTCCTAACCTCCTCTTCACACTCCTCCCAAGTGTTGGGAGTCATTTGAGCCAAGCCAGGTGGCACATGCTGCCTGCCTTGGGTGACACAGCAGTTTGGGTGTTAATCTTGCTTGTTGAGTTTGGAGCTCTAACTTGACTGCTGTTCCCTGTCATCTATTGGTGCTGCCAGCAAGTGCACTGGGTTTGCAGCTCCATAAAGCAGCTGTTCTTCTGTTGAACCTGAGCTTTCTCATGTCTGTGGGTGCATCCCATCCTGTGTCTGAACTTGCTTTGAAGACCTTTGAAAAGCAGCCTTCAAAGGATAGCAGCACTGTAGTAGGGGTCAGTTCCTTCTCTGGGCTGCTCTGGAGGAATCCATCAGGATGACTGGGCTCTTGCAGGCTGCAGGAAGGACTGTTGGTTCATCAAGCTTCAATGATCACCTTCAGAGGGCTGAGCTCTTCACACTTGAGTGTGCAAGCAGAGGTCTTCTGACACAGAGTCAGGGGCTGCAGCTCTACACGTGTGCTGATGCTCCAGCTCTTGGCTCCAGGTCATGTAAAAGATCAGCAGATCTTCATTTGTGCAGTTCCTGAGACTGTATTTAAAAAAACACAGACGAGTCTTGGATGCTTTTCTTCTTTTGAAATGGAAGCATCACCATTTGCATTTTCTTCTGAACATTTTTGGCACAATTTACTGGGGTTTTTTTTTCTTCTTTTCACATGGATACACTTGGGCATGGAAATGAATGTGGAACTTGTGAGTTTGTTTCAGCTGAGCAGGGTTTAAAATCTGCTTAGACCATCTGATCAATCTTGTTAAGAGCACACAGTTCCAGAACAGCATTCCCTTGTTAGAAAACTTTCAATTCTGGGAGGGAATGAGCTCAGTCTGCCATTCTCCTGAATTTTAAGGAGGAATTTTGATGGAGATTACTCCTAGCAGGAAATAGGTGTTGAGGGACTGAATTGGCATGGGGGTGACTTGGAAAGGAAGGAAAGAATGGGGGGTTGAGGAGTTCTTGAAAGGGATGCCATCTTCTAAGTCCATGTCACCCTCAGAATTTGAGTCCTGTGTCTGAAGAAGGTTGTCCAGCAGACACCTTTGTTTGCAGATCTCCTCCAGTGTTTTCTGGAGTGATTAGTAACCAGCCATTTCCTTTACATGTAACATGGCATTTTCTGCTGTGTTCCTGAAAATGCATGTACAAATCTCAGGAAAAGATGGGGGCTAAAAATCAGGAGAGAGAAACCTTATGGCTTTGTGAAATGACACAGCAGCACCTCTGAACCATGAAGCAGCATTCCTTGACAGCTCCTTGCTGAGAGTACATCCAAGCAGGGTCTGGGTTACAGGTAAGCAGCCAACATGGATACAGCTTGTCTGTGAAGGAAGGCCATGTAGCACTTCTTCCCCTTTTCCTGCCATCAGGTTACAAGACAGATCCATGAGCATGAGCAGGAGAACGAGTTGCGGGAACAGATGTCAGGATATAAGCGGATGCGGCGCCAGCACCAGAAGCAGCTGATCGCCCTGGAAAACAAGTTGAAGGCCGAGATGGACGAGCACCGCCTCAAGCTGCAGAAGGAGGTGGAGACACACGCCAACAACTCGTCCATTGAGCTGGAGAAGCTGGCCAAGAAGCAACTGGCTGTGATGGAGAAGGAGGTGAGTGGAGTTAGAGGCTGCCCAGCTGTGCGTGAGGATCGGAGGGAGAGTTGAGTCCAGGGCTCTAAGAAAAGGCTGTGGGAGTGCTCTGTGTGGTCACTGTCCAGAGCTGCCCCAGCCAGTTTGGTGAAGCAGCTTCAAGTCATCCTTCTGGATGCTCCATTGGCATCAACCACATTGGCATCCATTGGCATCAACCACAGCCAGTGACAGCTGGATAAAAAGGGCTGACACACCTGTGGGGACCTTGGAGGGAGCTCTGCCTCATGACTGAGGGCATGACAAATATTGTTGCTGCTACTCAGTCTATTAAAAATCACCGTGTTAATCCATGTGGTAAATTAGTTGGGGGTGTTCCCTCTGAGGTGGTTTTTGGGGGGAGGCAAGAAGCACAAGGAAACTTACCTCTGTGTGGGCATTAAAGGGTCTTCTGTGCAAGCAGTTGTCATGGGCTGAACACTCATGGCTTTGTCTAGCACAGTGCTGGGAGAATGACCAAAAAAACCACAACACAAGACTGATTTGTGCTGAATTCTGTACCTGCTCCCTCACCCTTTTGTTTTTTTCCTACTGGTTTTTTCCCTCTCTGTACCTTGCAGGCAAAGGCAGCTGCAGCAGATGAAAAGAAATTCCAGCAACAGATTTTGGCTCAGCAAAAGAAAGACCTGGCGACCTTTTTAGAAAGTCAGAAGAAACAATACAAGCTTTGCAAGGAAAAGATTAAAGAGGCAAGAAACCCTCATTTTCAGGGCTGAAGGGGTGTGGAATGAACGTGAACTAGTCTTTCGTTGTATAAACCTGGGCCAGCCTAGGGGTTTAAGGGATTCTGTCATACTTGGAAGCAAATTTAGATTCTCAGCAAATAAACTTTCAGGATCTGGGAGCATCTGGCAGCATTTCCAGAATAATCTGTGAGGGTGCTAGAGGTGCCTTCACAATTTGCTGTAGAGCAGAGTCTTTGAAACTAAGGGTGATGAGGGGAAATGGGACTTCACAGAGAATTCTTCTTCCCCTTTCTCCTCATCTGCTTTTTTGCCTTAAGCTGTAAGTAATCAGATCAGCCATGCAATGTCCCTTGGCTAAGAGCCCTGTGATCATTTATATGAATTAGAAAAAGAAGTATGTATAAAAAATAAGTATATAGCTAATCTGTGCCAAAGTGCATCACTTAAGTGTAGTGTCCCCACCACATGGCAAAAACCATTGCTGTTAATAATGTAAAGGTGAGAAAATGAATAACAAGGAGCTCTGTTTATCTGATAAAAAAATCAAGCATGAGACCTGCTGAAATGAAACTTAAGCCCAGGCTGAGCTCCTCTGTAAAACAGGCACAGCTGGGAAGGGTTCTGAGGGGTCTGGCCTGATCTCTCCTGGGCAGCCAGAGCCTCCCCTGTAGTGCTGTCTCTCTCTTTCCATTGCTGTGCTGTTTAGCCCCAAAATGTTTGTGTTCCATGGCCACTTTTCCTCCTCTTCCTGATGGGTCATACTAGACCTCTAGGGGCTGCAGGGCTGGGCATGGCCAGGTGACAGCTCTGGTTCTGCAGGCACCTGGTGTTCTAGTAGGATTTTGGTGTCCCTTCATGAGTTGAGTGGCAGAGTAGCTGTCAGTGGCTGAAGGTCCTCCAAGTCCTGTGTCCCTGTGATCCTAAGGAAAGCATTGTTCTGCCCCTGTGTGCATGCAGGAAATGAATGAGGACCACAGCACGCCGAAGAAAGAGAAGCAAGAAAGAATATCCAAACATAAAGAGAACCTGCAGCACACACAGGCTGAAGAGGAGGCCCATCTTCTCAGCCAGCAGAGACTCTACTACGACAAAAACTGCCGTTTCTTCAAGAGAAAAACGATGATCAAGAGGCATGAGATGGAGCAGCAGAATATTCGGGAAGTATGGCACTTCTCACTTCTTTCCAAGCTTTCCTCTAGCTGATTTAGCTTTATCTCTGTGAAACAGTTTGCTGAAGTTAGATCTTCATGTCTCCAGTTGCTCAACAGAACTGAGACAAATGCAGGAAAAAGTTTTTGGGAAATAGTGTTCCACACACCTGTGGCTGCTTTGATTAGCTGGGGAGGGTGGCATTATTGACTGGCAGATAGAAACATCATGTGGGCCACACACTCTGAGCCAGGTGCCTCATCTGAGCTCCTGACTATTGGATTTTGGGGGATCTTGCTGGGCTGCTTTCACAGCACAGGGCAGTTTGGGCCCTGGGGAGGGCCTGAGAGAGCTGTGGGATGGGCAGTAGTTGGGTAAGGAGAAGCTATTCACATCCTACTTTCCCTCATTTGTTACTGCCCTTTGCCTTAGGGATGCCAGTGGTCAAATGCCACCTTGAAGAGAGTTCCTACTTGTAGATGTTTCTGTGGCCATCACTGTAGTATCTAAATTCTTCATTAATGTTATTTTTGGATAAAGACCATCAGGTGAGAGGGTATTTAATAAAGACTGAGAGTGGGCAAGTGGTCAGATGTTCCTAATAATCATGTACTTGGCCTGCTCCCATCTCATTTTCTAGCATCCTTAAAACTGCCCTGTATTTTACTTGTTAGAAGCTTTGCTTCAGATGTGCCTGGGGCTGCTCAGCTGCTTTGCAAATCACATCCAGACATCTCAACTCAGGCACCCTGAAAATGAATGACTGTGAAAAATCAGATTTGGGCACCCTTATCACAGCATGTAAGCTCCGTGGCAGGATGAGAACAGAGTTCACTTACCTAGAGTGGCATTTAAGCAGGGAACACGCCTCAGAGCTCCTGCATGTAAGCTCTTGAGAGAGACCTAATTTTCAGAGTGATCTGAGTGTTTATTTCCTGAAAATAACATCCCTACTAACTACTTCAAATGCACTGGATCAGACACCTGAAGTAAATAACACTTTCAAAATATATTTTTCATTATATTTTATGTAACCACAGAGGTTCTTTTTGTGCAAGG